AAATAGATGCCACATGACTTTTAGTGAAAAATTGTGATTGACAAATAACGTACAATGACCACTCTGACCATTTAAAGCCCAGATATTCAGTAATTTGCTTTTATGGAAAAAGTCTTGTATTTTTTTAATTATAGAGATCGGCGAAAAAGGATTTTCAATATTTACAAAACTTTTACATATATAAATATATTTAAAAATAGTATCTCAACATTTTTTCGATATTTTTTTGAGGATAAATAAAAGATTAAAATGAATAAGCAAAATAATAATTATTATGTTTGCAATAAATAATAATTTTTCTCTTTTTATTTTTTTTTTTGTTTCATCAAGGATATCAAAAAAAAAAATATCTTTGAAAATCATCTTCCTCTTTCAGACGATACTTCTAATGATAATTGCTTCATAGATCTATATTTATATCCAGGTGAAATCAAATTGTTAACATTTCATCAATGTACTTTGAATTTGGATCTAGCCGGATAGCTAACCAAGCAGCTGTAAGGAAGCTTAAAATATACATAGTTGAAGTTGTTCAATGTTGGGCATCATTAGTGCAAAAATACTTTGAGAAAAATAAAATAAAAAATAAAACAATTTGAGAAAAAGCGCATTTTTCTTTGGTTCATAAAAAATGGGCTAATAATCTTTTGTTCAAACATGCAAACAATTTACATAATGAATTGCCTCTTTTATTAATGAACAAGAAAACTGAAATATTTTTTTTAAAAAAAAAAAAAAAAAAAAAAATCAAAAAGAGGGGTCGGCTGGAATCGAACCAACATCTCGACTCGTGACTATGTCGTATTCTACCATTTGAACTACAACCCATTCTTGAATGCTTAAATAATGTTTATTCCTAATTTATTTCTTTTGATCGACGATTATTTTCAATATTATTTATAAAAAAGAGGAATCTCTTTCTCAAGTGAAGATGACATATATATGATGTTATTTCCATTAAATGTAGATGATGCTCTTATTTCCATATTAATATACCAACTTTCTGAAGAAAAGAGGCAGAGAAAATGCTTTTTCAATGTCCAATCTTGAGTTATCATTTTGCTGCTGGCAGCATTTCTCTTCCCTCTGATGAAGGAACGTACTTTTTTCTGTGCTGCATGACGATGAAGACAACAACAGCTACGACGACAATAACAGCAACAACACAGATGTACTATTTGATGTGCTTGTGCTAGTTGATGGTGAAGCTGGCTTAGTTGTAGGTTTCTCTTTGAGTTGTTGGTTTCTCTGGTTGTGTTGTAGGCTGAGCAGTTGGTTTTTCTGGTCGAAAAAGGAGAAAAGCCATTAATTAATATCAAACATAATCATTAATCCATGAAAGAATTATTCTCTTCAAAAAATAACCTGTTTTTATTAAAAACAATAAATGGCATTAAAAAAATTCAGCATTCGATATTAAAGAATAAATTTGAGAATTTGAAATAAAACAAATACCACATTTTGTATGGTAATGATATTACAATTTGAACATTATATATTTACTTTAGAAAACTTTGATGAATAAAGATGACTAAATATTTATAATTATATATTATCATACAGAACCAAATAAAAATACTATTAAAAATGATCTTTGTAAATTTTTTGTCGTTTAAAAAATGAATATAGAATGATTGGCTTATGTGATATTACAAGAAGCAGTACGATTACTTTTTCGTATCTTTTTTCTTAAATATTTAATATAATTGAAATATTCTTTCTTGTCAATTCTATTCGTGATGAATTCTTGATTTTTCTCTAAGTTGTTAACGATAACATCAAAAGATGGACGATTTTCAGGATCTTCCGACCAGCATGCTTCAATAAATTGCTTATAAATATTTGGAAGCTGTTTATTATTTAATGATGGTCTTGACTTTTTAACGACAACTTCTTTGTAGAGATCGCTTAAATTTTGGACAGTGTGGAAAGGGATTTTATTCGTCATTATTTCATAAACAATGAATGAATATGAATAGACATCACTCATTTCAGATGGATTCTTTGATTTGAAGACTTCTGGTGCAATCGAAATAGGATTAATTCCTCGTTCTCTTGCTGAAAGATTTGCAACACTTCGGCTGTTTTCAACTTGGATGAAATTTCCAATTTCACTCAATTTCGGATACAATGATTTATCAACATAAATGTTCTTCGTGCTTATTTTAGGATGAAGAACACCATGTGAATGAAGATAGAGCATCCCTGATGCAATTCCATAAATGTTGATCAATCTTTTTGTATCGTTCCAGCCTGGATAAATTTGCCCTTTTCGTTCTGTTTGAATGATGTCACTCAATGTTCGATCTGTCGAATATTCGCCAATAACAACTGGCTTTAACTGACCATCGAAGTCAACAATGCTGAATCCAACAATTCGTTGAATTGATGGATGTTTCATTTCTTTCAATTGTTCAAATTCTTTTGAAATGTCTTTCATTTCTTCTTCGCTGTAGTTTTGGATGACATTCGCAATTTTCGCTGAATAAAACTTTCCTGACATTCGATCTTTCACCTTGTAAACACTAGAAACAGCACAATTTCTAATTTTGTCTTGTTTTTCATATTTGTTCAGATTGTGAAATCCTACCTTTCCTAACAAAAAATGTTGATTCTCTTTGAATTCTTTTTCTACCGATTGAAGATCAATCATGTGAAAAGGGAAGTCTTGCGTGATGCACGTTTTACTTCCTCCTTTTTCGATGAATTTAATGAATTCTTCAAACTTTTTCTTATCAACGTTTTCTGTAATGAATTCTTCATCGTTCTTCAAGTCTTCAACAATTTGCTCAAACGTTGGTCGCTCATGTGGATCTTCATTCAAGCATGCTTCAATCAATTCAATGTATCTTTTAGGGACTTTTTCATGATCGATTTCTGGAATGTGCTTTTTCATATTAATCATGTTCATTATTTCATAATCTTTCTTTCCATTGAATGGAAATTTCTTGTTCATAATTTCGTAAACAAGCATCCCAAATGCATAAACATCACCTGATTTCGTATATTTGACTTGCTGATAAATTTCTGGTGAAATGAATGATGGTGTCCCAACGATATCTTTATCAATATAGTCATCACCGTCGATTCGAACTGAAAATCCAAAATCCGAAAGTTTAGGGAACAAATAATAGTCAAGTATAACATTGTCTGGTTTCAAGTCTCGATGAATGATGTTAAGTGAATGAAGGTATTTCATGCTCGCTGCAATTCCGTAAATATTTATCAGTCTCATCGTATCGTCCCAAATTTCACTCTTAAAACCAAGTCGCTCAAGTTCAAGCAATTTTTCTAAGGAATCATTTTTTAGATATTCAATGATGATCGCTGGTTTCAATTTCTTTTTGAAATTGGTCCCACTGTAGCCGATGAAGTTCACTATCGATGGATGCGACAAACTTGCATGAATTTCGACTTCTTGGATGAAGCTCTGTGATGTCGCCGTGTGTTTAGTTTTTTCGCTAATGATCTTTTTTGGAAATTTGCATGCATAAAATCGGCCTGTTTTTATTTCGTTGATCTTGTAAACTTTCCCAAACCCGCCAAATCCGATTTTTTCTCTTTTTTCGTAGTCTTTTAGATCCAACGTTTTCACGTCCAAAAAAAGTGGCTCGTCATTATATTCATCAATTTCATCATCATTGTCATCGTCTCCATATATATTGTTGTCTATAAAGGCTCTCTTTTTACCATTCGATTCAATATATTTGATGTAATCTTTGAATTCTTCAATGTCGCCATATTCGGTGACGAATTCTTCCATATTGTTCTTGATCATTTCGACAATTTCATCAAATGTCGGCCTCTCTGAAGGATAATCAGACCAGCATCTAGAAATGAGGTCTTTATAGCAGTTGGGAACATCTGGATCAATTTCAGGACGCATTCCACGAATGATTTTAGTGAAAAGACGAAAAGTATTTTCATGTAAATCCTCTTCAAAAGGAATTTTGCCCGTAATGAGTGTATATACAATCATTCCAAATGAATAAACATCGCATTCCGGAGATAATTCACGACGTTCACGCATTATTTCAGGTGCAGCATAAATATTACTTCTATAAGTGACTCTCACTGATAGTTTAGGATTTATATCTTCTTTATCAAAAAAAGAAAAACCAAAATTACAAATTTTTGGGTATAAATTATTGTCTTCTAATATGTTTGTTGGTTGCAAATTTCCATGAATAATTCCCTGGGAGTGCAAATAGGACATTCCAGATGCAATTCCGAATATATTTATAACTTTCTTCGTATCACACCAGTTGTTGGGGCAGAGGTTTCTTTCTTCTAACTCTAGGATATTTTTTAATGTGCCATATTTTAGATGCTCCGTAATAAGAGTCAAGTGATCACGTGAATTAAAATCAAATGGACTGTATCCAATGAATTTGATGATAGAAGGATGTGATAATGATAAAATGAATTTCGCTCTATGAATTATATCGTTTTTGTATTTATCTAATTCTGGTATAAATATTTGAGCTGTAAATATTTCATGTGTAACTTTATCTCTCAGTCTGTAGATTTTGCATCTTTTTCCTACTTGTAAATTTTGAACACATTCATATTTAGTCAAATCTATAGGTTGCATTGCTAATAACAAATTTATGATCAATGACTTAAAAATTTTCTGAAAAAGTTACAGCTTTTAGAATCTTATAAATTTTAAACGGCCATTAAAAAAAATAAATTTCTATTTTTATCATAAATGTTAATGATAATGACTGTAGTTTTATTTATTATGTAGTAGCATACATAGAATCAATATATCCAATTTAATTTTGAAATAATGTACAGTGATACTAATAAAATGCATTACATTTTCTCATCTTCTTCATTCGATGTTGTTTAATATAAAGATGTCATAGTTATTTATATAAAATATTAAGCGTTAACATTTTGGTATGCTTTACTTTTGGATAACTCTAATATATGATGAGGGAGGGGGGGGGAGAAAAAAAAGGATGATTACATTTTTAAAGAGTTAATAATCAGAAGCGTTGCTGGTGTAAATGGTTATCATATGGGCCTTCCAATCCCGGGATTCGGGTTCAATTCCCGAGTGACGCATTTTTTTGATTTTTTTTTTATGACAAAATTCAAATATATAACTTTTCACCTTCTGGTTATTTCAAAAAAATAAGATTCGCATCCACCTATTGCTAGTTTAAAGTATAAATATATGATACTGGACATATCCAAAATAAATTTGTATAAGCAAAAATCAATTGATTGAAAACAAAACAAATAAAGAAATAATGAAAATTATATATATAATTTACTTTCTGTTCAAAATTTTCTCACATTCATGAACAGTACGAGTGTCACCAATCAAAGATGCCTTGTGAGCAATCAGAGGGATTATTTCCATATTTTTAGATGCATAAGCAATCGCAAATGAATCAACAATAAGATTGTAATCCAAGAACAAGTATTCTTGCTCTTTCCCATCAAAACATTCATACATCACTGAGAAAAAGATTTCTCTATTGTTCGTCATCGCCAACGCCTTCAGAATATCCAGACGATCTTCTTTTGTGAGTTTTCTAACAATTTTTATAATTTTCTCAGGCTGCTCTTTACATAGAATATCGCACACCTTGCAGAATATTTCCATCTTTGAAAGCTTCAGTGATGTCTTCATTTCATCCATGAGTTCGTATTGCTTGTATATGAAGAGCAAAGCCGAAACAAAAGTTGCACTTTCATCAGATGAAAAGATTTCATATTCATGAGAAAAAGGGATTGATTTCTCAATGCAAAACTTGTTAATGTTCAATTGTAATTCAGCGAATTTCAAATATTCAAGAATATCATCATATGTCTTTGATTGATTAATAACAACAGAATTCAATATTTCTTCACTATTCCCTTTGCTTTTACAATCTTGCCTGTAATTTATTGAAGTCTTCAAGTTGATGATTATGTTGCCGAGAATTGAAAATTCAGTCACGAAAGAAGTGCAATTTTTGAGAGATTCAAATCCAACAATCGCTGCATCTTCAAGTTTGTTCTCAACTTGTAAAGCAAAGATGAGTCCTTGTGGCATCTCCTTCTTCGTGAAAAAGTCAATCGCAGCATCCCACAAAAATCCTGTTTTTTCAAGATTTTTGTCAATTTTCATGATGAAATCCGTGAATTTTTGTGTGAAATTGTTGAAAACAACGGGCAAACAAACATCATTGATGAAATGATCAATTTTTTCTTGTTCGTTTTCAATTGAATTCAACAATTCATTGGCGGACTCGAATTGTTGGAATGAAATAAACAATGACAATGCTGGGCCGATAGAACAATGCTTTGAAATGAGGATATTCAATGCACTTTTTGCTTCACTTTTAGATAATAAAAAAACGTTCTTTTTAGAACGTTTCGGTATGGTCAAAAATTGACTGACACTTTTATATACATCATTTGGAATTCCTTCATTTTCACCACCTTCTTCTTGTTTGTTGTCGTAGAGAAAGATCGGATCCTTGTAGAGTGGATAAAGGAAGTAAAATGAAGAATCATAAAAAAGTGACTTTGCAAACTTGTCAATTTTGAGACTCTCTTTTTGAATTGTTTCTGTTGCATCAACAAATTTGCCGAGAACAAGTTGAAGGTGAATTTTATAAAAGTAGTAGTTATTCAATTCAATGCCGAAAGATTCAGAAATATCAAAAATAACATCTTCTTGGTCAATTATACAACATAACGATATAATATCATTCAAAAAGTCAGAATCTTTTAATTTTGAGAATGAATAACTTTTTCTGTAGTGTAAAAATGGCCTCAATTCAACAATCCGTGAAAGTGAACGAAATTGTTTCAACCTGACATGGTCAATTGTGTTCAGTGGCACTTTTATCTGATGGAAAAATTTGACAGCTTCTTCTTCTTTGTTTTCGTCATCAATTGTCATATTCATCAATTTTCTGTCAATCATATCTGACCAAAAATCAACAACTTTTGCTCTATTGGTGAAGAATTGATAAAGATGAAGAAATATTTGAATTGAAAATTGTGAGGATATCGTTCCTTTCAAAATTTTGAATAGATTTTCATCGTTCAGATAAATAGCAACTTTTTCCGGCATTTCTAAAATATGCAATGGATACCGAATGTAGGAACGCGTGATTGAATCAATATCAAAAATGTTTGAATTTTGAAAAATTGGCTCTGGAAGCAATTGAATAGTATTCAAAAAGTTGATTTTGTAAGAAGGCGAATATTTGACCAAGTAAGGAAGAACTCCTTTGAAATAGTAAGTTCGACCAAGAATGACATCGAAATGCTCAGGAAAAGTTTGCAAGATCATTTCAATTTGCTCAATATTTGATAACGAAAGAGTGAACAATTGTACAATTAATGAGCACTGCTCTTCAGCTTTTATCCAATACAAAATGTAATCAATAATCAGCATGAAGTATTCATTCCCTTTGCTATGCAAATCAGTAACAATTTCCATTTGTTCTTTTTTATCTGTAATTTGGCATACTTTGTGATATGTTTCGATTGACATGATTCTTTCATTGTCAGATTCAGGAGAGACGTAAGAAACATAGCTGAACAATTTGTAATATTGAGTTGCTATCGCTTCATTGTCAAACTTCAGCATCAATTGCCGATAGATTTGACCATGATCAACAGAAAAAATCAAATCATCGAAGTCATCAAAATCTGGATCAAATATTGATTCAAATGAAATATTATCAACAGAAACATCATTTGCTGACATTTTATCCAAAAATTCAAAGTAGTCTGAAATAGATTTCATCTTGCCTGGAAGACTTGCTTTAATGTGGTTGGAGACAGCAAGAGCTGTGCTTTCTAATGGATACTTGTCTGCCAAACCCTCAATTAAATTTGCATCAATTTTGAAACAAGATAAATTATCAAAAATATAGTTTGTCAAATCAACATTGACACATTTTGTCAGTTCATTAGCACCAATCATCTGGTCATGCAAAATTGAACCTTCAACTGCCTTTTGAAAATTAAAGTTGAACAAATCTTCAATTGAATCAAATGTGGATGAATCAATCAAGATTGCACAACGATAATATTTGTATAGATAATTAAGAAAATCATCAAAATTTTTACTTGTTTCGGTTATTGAATGATTTTGCTGAAAATTTTTGATTTTTTTCAATGACGTTTCCAAAGACTCATCAAAACCAATTGCAAAGTCGATAAGCTGCTGGCATTTATTTCTGTTGTCAAAAGGAAAACAAAGGCTTTCAATTTCACAATCTTTTTCAAGGCGCCATTCGATAATTGTATTGACATGGTCAATAAATTTGGCCTTGTTTTGAATTTCTGTCAATTTATCTTTTTTAGTGATCAAAGATAGCAAAACGTTCACTTTAACTGAATCAGAGACTGATTCATCATTTTCATTCAAATATTTGTCAACTTGGATCGCTTCAGAATAAAATTTTATGTAATAAGGCAAAAAAGCTGTCAATTTTTCAGCTTGAAGCCAATTTTTATTCTCAATTACAGTGTAAATGTAAGAAGGATCATTATCAAACCAAGGAACGATAGAAGTGTCATACTTAGTAATTTTTTTATTATCAAAAAGTGCATTGGCACGATAAATTTGAGAGGGTACTGAAAAAGTGATTAAAACCGAAATTAATTGATGTGCAACTAACGGATGACACAGAAATTCGTGCTTGCTTTTATCTTGAATGAAAATGCAAGAAAACAAATCAATGATGATTTTTGATCTTGTTTTTTCATCTTTTATAGAATTCAATAGATTTGATGTTTTGTCATTGAATTTATTCAATTGGGCAGTTGTCGGTGTTTGAGGGTAGTTTTTGCAAAATGAAAGAAGTTGATATAAAACACCATAACAACGAACAAAATCAAAATCATTCAGTGCTTTATCATCTTTAATTGAAAAGAAATTCAAATTTGAAAACTTTACAATTTCACTCGTTTTGTGAATAACCGTTTTCAATAGAAAAGGAAAAGAATCAATGAAAAAATCGCCATAACCGAACTTTTTACCAGTTTGTCCTGAAATGAAGTTAAGAAAACGGAAGTCATTTTGGAATGATTCAATAATTTTAGGAGGAGGTGAAGTCAAGTTATCAAAAAGTTTAACCAAATTTTGCAAATATTGATTTTTTTCTCTCAAAAGAATAGTTTGATTTGCGACCACTAAAAAAGGAAAGAACTCAAAGAATGGTTCAATCAACTTTTGTATTTTTTTACTGTCAGATTGCGCAGAGAATTCTATATCAATGATTTGGTAGGCAAAGTCGATGAAGTGCTTATTTTCAGTGCAAAACGATGAATTAACGAGTGTGAAATTGACTGAATTTTCAAGTCCTTTAATTAATGACGGATAAGGAAAAGTATTCGTTATTTTGGTCTGTAAAGAAAGAGTCAATTCTTGCTGCGTGAAATTGTTAGGAAATTGAAAGAAAGACGATAATTCTTGCTCGTCAAATTCGTCAATTTGATTAATGAAATCTATCGGCGGTTTTAAATAAAACGAAATGAAATTTGGCCCGATGGCTTTGTAAACTCTGTCAATGCGTATTTTTGAGATGATGCTTTGTAATTTAGGGAGAATTGAATAGAAAATGCCTGGATAATCGTCTCGTAATAATTGAATGTAAAAACTTAGATCATGAGCAATATTCTTCTTGATTTCACCGGAATAATCAATATATTTGGTAAGAAAATTCATGGCTTGATCATTAATCGTTAAAAAATCTTTCATTGCGAGTTCTGATGACATATCTTCTTCTGAGTTTTGATTTGGAAATTCTAAAAATGATTGTATCGACCACCTTATATTTATTGTTTCATCATCTTTCGGAATTTTATTGTAAATCAATTTTAATATTGATGATATATTCTCAAAATTGACTATTTTTTCAAAAAGAAGAGCAATTGATAGGTCATCGGATACTATGTTAAAAACACATTCCAGTAAAAATACATTTTTAAAATTAGTTTTTTGTGTAATTGAATCAAAGAGTTCACACATTTTGAGATATATAAGATAATTAAATCAATTGAAAATTGAGTAAGTCTTTTTTCAATATTATTTATTAAAAATCTTAATA